CTAAAAAAAAGGATGGTATGGCATCTTCTGCAACTAAGATAAACTGAGGATTTCCTTAATCATCAAATCTTTGGTACATTTTGCTTAGTAGTTCTTCCTGGTCAGGAGTGGAGGTGGTTGTAAGGCAACACTCTGTTTGTTCAGGACTCTGCTTACTCCTTGCTCTTTGCTTAAGGATCACTCCTGGCAGTGTTAGGAGAATCTTATCCCATAAATGGTGCTGGAGATTGTACCAGGTTCAGTATAAGACAAGGGACTTAACTATTGTACTCTATCTCCAACCCCTAATAGCTCTTCCTTTAATCTATTGTTTCCTCTCAACTTTATGATAAGTAGAAAGATAAATCAATGTGAACCTTTGACATATAGTTTTGAAATCTCCTCTGCCGATTATCCAAATTCTTGTTTATCATAAACTACAGTTCAGCAATGCTTTCTGGCAATGTGTCCTAAAAATCTCCTTTCCTCAGGCTTTCAGTATGGATTTTCCTCATTCACGTCTGTGCAATTGTAGGTAGCACTTAGATCCATATTTCTAGCTGCAGTCACTCTTGCCATATTAATCTCTAGAGGATATTGCTTTCCATTCTCATGGTCTCCGTTTAAAAAATAACACGATTGAATCCTCCACAAGGAAGTTAATATTCGAACCATAGTAACAAATAAATCAAACCAACTTAGTATTTTTTTTTAAGAAATCTGCTTCACAAAATTCAGCTAACATTTTTCATAGCACCATTCTAAAACTGTTTCACGTTTTCATTATTTATTATACTACCACCAACTTCCAGAACCGAAATCACTACTATTTGCCCATTGTCACCTTTACAATTTATTGCAAACCTGGTTTCATAAGACCCACAAAACCTTTCATATCTAGAGGACGGAAGGGTGAAATGAGTCTCACTAATCTAAAATCAAAACATGAACATAAACGCTTCTTTCCTGGAAGGCCTGAGATAGAATTGCTTTTCTAGATTTTTCCAGCCTTAGAGAATGCATATGTGCTGGGGTAATAATATCTTTCCATAAATCAGAAATTGGCACTCAAATATTTCTCACATTGCATCACTAGTCTGTTTCTCACTCCTCTGCCTCCATTTTTCATCTATAAAGAAACTGTCGGTTACACTCAACCCACACAGAAAATTCCAATTAATTTCTCCATCTCAAGGATATTTGATTAACCTATGTGCAACCCGACTTTTTTCTTGCTTATATGCTATATAACAATGCATTCATTGATTAGAGAATTAGGGTACAGACTTCTTTGGAGGGACATTAATTCCGCCTGTTCTATTTACCACTAAAGAATACCATTTCTTTTGACAAACTTAAGTGAACAGAATTCCTGTCACCATTAGAATCTACTATATTTTAACATACTTTGTGAATATCTTTACCATGGTTAGAAATTGAGAGAATTCAGTTTCATATGATCTTTTCCCCCATAATTAAACTTTGCATTCCAAAAGAGACACATGTAATCCTAACATAGCCCTAATACAAATTACCAGTGTAAAATTTATCTTAGTAGAGACAAAACAAATTGAAAGTGAATTATCATGAGAAGAGGAAGAACAAGATACAAAAGAAAAAGATAATGAAGTTCATCTTAACATTGTTGCAATTGTTAAGTTATCATGATTTGATGTATAATACAATAAGCGGTTAGTTTGTTTAAAAGTATAAAGATGTGCCCCCTCATGCACACACACATATATTTGACTTTTTGGGGTCACACTTGATGCTCAGGGGTTATTCCTGGCTCCGCACACAGGAATCACTCCTGGAAGTATTCAGGGACCATATGGGATTTGGGGGATTGAACCCACGTCAGCAAGGCAAATGCCCTATTCGCTGTGCCCCCCCTCTCATATTTTTAAGAGTATAACATTCTTTCCATTCCTTCCCAACTCTAATGTTTGGATTTTTCCCATTTTTTCTCCCAGTACCCTTTAATTTATTAACTTATTATAGAGACAGCATAACTAAATCCAGGAGATACACGCTTTCACTTGAACCAATACAGCAGTAAAATTCCAGGCGGGTGGAGGGGGGATTAAGATGATGTCTCTCAAAATGCCCTAACTTGAACAGATTCACAAAATTTCTGTTTGAGACTAACTCCATATACTTTATTCCTTTAAAGGAATCTGTTGAGGTTTGTGTTGAGTGAGTATGTTGATTCACTAGGTTTGGGGTGACTCCAGTTGGTCTACGGGATCCTAGGCTCGCCTGATCCAGCAGAAACTGAGGTCACACTCTGAGCAGCAGAGTTTGATCACATCTCTGGTTTCCACTGGAATTTACAAGTGTGGAACGCCTGAAAAAAAAATACACATTTGAGTGTGTGTGTGTGTGTGTGTGTGTGTGTGTGTGTGTGTGTTTGACATGGCCGACCCTGGTTTATTCTTCCGCCCCTCTTGCCTCTTGAGAGCCGGTCAAGCTACCGAGAGTATCTCGCCTGCAGGGCAAAGCCTGGCAAGCTCCCCATGACATATTCAATATGCCAAAAAATAGTAACAACTCTCACAATTTGAGACATTACTGGTGCCCGATCGATCAAATCAATGAACAATGGGGGGACAGTGCTACAGTGTTTTTTTTTTTTAATCAACTATCCAGAGTTGGGTAGAGGAAAAGCAAAGAATCCTGAGAAGAAAACCTTGAAGTTTTCAGCCAAAGACAAGAAGTCCAAGAAAGATTAGTATAATCTGGATATTTAATACTAATTTTAAAATTGTCATTGTATGATTTCTATTCTCAACAACATAGAAACAAGAGGTTAATCTTCACACCACCCAAATACCAATAGAATAGGCCTAAAAGATGACACAATATTTATATAGTCTCTAAGAACCATTTTACTAACAGTGTAAATCAACTATGTCCATATGAGCTATGTTCACTACTATATACTTGGACCAAAAATTTAACTTCCCTAAGTGTAAAAGATCATGTCCCTAAAGATCATGCAAAAATTCCCATAGTACATTTTCTTGGCCTATCAAACACCCAGATTAAGGAATATCTTTCACAAAGACCTTTGATGTTTCCTTTTTGTAGTTTCTTCTGCTCATATCCCACAGTCTGAAGCAGAGGAGAAAGAGAACTCAACACACTTACTAACCAAGAATCTACTGTTGATAAAACAGAGTAGCTAAAGGCAGCAATCACTGACGTTAAACGTGATACATAAGAAGTAGTCTTCTGTGCTATAGAAATTGAGAATATAAATGCAAAAATGAATGGGGGTAAGCAAGTCGTATTCTAAGATGAAAGAAATATTGCTAAGAGTAAAGCTAATGTTGACAAAGGCAGTTTTTATATTAGCTTATGACACGTGAAAGAGAGGACAGGCCAGAGAGGCAGAGAGGCCTTAAGCACACAACTGATCCTTCTACCTGATCTTCCTGGATATTTTAAAATGTGCTTTGCATACCAGCCAAATGGCCTCACTCCCAGTTCTTTGAGAATTGGTAGCATGCCTTCCTACCTCTAAACTTTTCGCTCACAACTTTAATCCTGAAGAAAACAAACTGAAAACAAAATCTGCTTCTATTTCATGTTTTCCCAAATATAAATACCCTTTTCAAGTCCAACCCTACTGCTGCTTCATGATAAAATATTTCTTTTGGATGGCAATTTTTCCTTTTGTAAGCATTGTTAGCATTGTATGTCTCTTTAAAAAAACAAAACCAAAAAAAAAAAACTTGGTTAAGATTTAGATCAAGGATGTAGTTAAGTGGTAGATCATTAGCTTTAATACATAAGGATTTGGATTAGATCCCAAACACTCTACATATATAGAAAGATGTGATACATATGAGATTTGTACAGAGACATCTCTCTATATGGCACGTCATATATAAACAGATATGAAAGAGAATCAATTACCTGTTATGTGTTTCTTTTTATTTTCCTTTCTAGGTACTATTCTGAGAATTACAAACATCACCATGAACTAAGAGTTGAAGTAGAGGTTTTAGAACTGGTAGAAACAAAAAGTGCAAAATTATTGCTCTGAACATTTGCCTGGTAGTGAGAGAACTTATTTAATTTTCTTGCTCTGAGTAATGCTGGCCTACTAAGTATTCTTAGTAATACCTAGTAGGCAAGACTGGGAGAAAATTGTGCAAATAATGGGGAAGCAAAAATACTACCAGATTCCGTGGTGGGTTTGAGGAGAAATGCAATTTGCAGATAATATTTTGTCTCCATTCTTGGGTCTGACGAAAGATCCAGAATAATTCTGATGAACTGTGAAATCACAAGGAAAGGGCATGGCAATATTTTCGGAGGTCAGAAAGATGGCTCAAAAAGTTAACACCAGAATTAATTTTTCTGTGCTGCACCCCATGTGCTCACACAAGACAAAAGAAACTAAAGGCATGAAATAGAGCAGAATCAGGATCTGACTAGTAAGATAAAAATCTTCTACCAATATAGTCTTACATTGGCAAAAAATAGGTTGTTTTTAAACTTGAAAGTCAAAACATCCCTCAGAATATCAACTTCCCCAGAGTTAGGGAGTGGTTTTTAACTATGGAGTGCTGTAGTTTTGCAAGGCACAGAGTGATGCAGATTTTTATTTCAATGGATCAGATGAATGGGCCTTGAACCCTTCCCCCCTTTCCGGTCCCCTTCTCTGCACACCCCTTCTGGATCTCTGTCCTCCAGGCAGTCATTCCTGGGATGGTGATTGGGTGGCTGTAGTTTTGGGACCTGACTTTTGGCCTTGTCCGCGTCTAGTGGGTGGGACTCAGCACAGTGCTAGTTTTTCACAAGCCAGGATTTTGTGTTTTTTTTGTTTGTTTTAATTTTTTTTTTTTTGCTTTTGCTTTTTAAAAAAAAAAATTTTTTTTAATCAGTCTTTTCTAGTTTCCTTGCTAGACCAAAACAGAAAAGCCGGGGAGCAGCCTGGGAACGGCCCCAGGCGCTGGTCACCTGCGGGGTGGCAGCGCCAAAGCCAGCCCAGGTCCGACCTGGAGTGACCTGAACAGCGTGCGCGGAAGCCGCTCTTTTCTTCTAGTCTTCGGAGTCTCATAGGGGGAGCAATTCCGCAGCGAAGTCAAATTGCAAGAGGAAAAGGCTGTCGGAGGGATCCCGGAGGGGTCTGGGGAGCTCAGGAGACGCTGGGAGGGACTCAGACGAGCCCGACTGCGCCTTTCCCCGGCGCGCAGGGGACTCCGCTGACCCGGGTGCGTTTCTTTCCGCCCAGCCTGTTGAGTGGGTCGGAGGGAGCCCCAGCACAGGTGCCTCGCGTGATCCCCCCCTCCCGCCCCGACACCCCTTTCTGCGTTGGCGGTGAGGCTCCCAGATGCAAGCCCCCAGCTGCTGCCGGAGACGCCGACCCGGGAAGCCTCCCAAGTAAGTAGCTGCCGCCTCCGGGGCGGCTGGGCCGGGCACACAGGCTGTGTCCCTCCCCGCGGCCGGAGCAGGGCTGGTCCCTCGCCACCTTCTCGGACTCGGGACCCGGTTCCCACGCCGGGGGGTGGGGTGGGGGAGGGGAACCCGGGAGCCCAGGAGCGCGGCGCTCGGGTCTCGGGGGAGGCGGGGCGGACTGCGGTGGGCGCTGCTGAGCCCACCGAGCTGGGCCGTGAGAACGCGCGGGGCGCGCCGGGGCTTGGCTCTCCCACGGGCGATCACCCCGCCCCGCCCCGCGCAGAGCCAGCGACGCGGAGCCCGGAGCCGCCACGGGACGCGGGATCTTTGGGCGCCGCGCGGGTTCGAGGGGCCGGAGGCCGCCCCGGAGCTGGGTCGCGACGGCCAGGAGCTCGGGTGAGACAGACAGTGGCCCTTCGGGAGAGGGAGACCCTCGGGGGGGGCTGAATTGCACGGAGAAAGCAAACTTCCCGGGAGGCTGCTGCTGGTTGGAGCTGAGTGAGTGAGTGTGCGTGTGTGCATGTGTGTGTGTGCGTGCATGTGTGCAATTGTGTGCATGTGTCCGTGCATGTGTGCAATTGTGTGTGTGTGTGTGTGTGTAAATTTCTGCTCTATTTTGTTTTCGTTCATTGTAACAACAGCACGTTGGGAAACCGCAGAGAGCCCTGGGGGAGTTGGAGGGGGTCCCTGCTGCTTCCGTTTGCGGAAACTCTCAGGGGTCTCTGCTCCCTGTCGGTGACATTTGTGTCGGGGACTGCCAGGCAATGCAGTCATGTGATATCAGACTGTGAGTTTCGTGGGTCTGTCTTTGCCTCACTCGTTTTCACGCTTTTCATTTTGCACGGGCAAAGCGTTTGCGACATCGGAAATAAACCTTAACGTTAGTTAGTTCTATGGCTCGTGGAATGGTAACCGGTCAAAAGCAGCTCGATTTCTGTATGATTGTGGATTTTTGATAGAATGGGCTATCTATCTATCTATCTATCTATCTATCTATCTATCTATCTATCTATCTATCTATCATCTATCTATCGAGAGCTTCATTTGTAACTCCTCGCTGGGGACTGGTACTCACGGAGATTGCATTGCATGTTCAATTACTAGACTTGGGAGTGGGGACACCGCTTACCCTAAGATTACACAGGGACATCTTGAAGCACTTAATGTTGGGTACAGATTCGTAGTATAGAAGTTGTTTTTTTTTTTTCTTAAAATGGCTATTTTTTTTTCCTTGAGGAGTGGTTCATTTTAAGTAATATAAAGAGTGATAGAAGTCAATGATAATATAACAGCAATTTAAGAATGCCTGAAATTTCAAAGGAAACTTTGGTTGCTAAAAGTCACTGAAACTTTTTATTCTTTCAGTGGAAGTTATGTAGTCTTTGATCTGTTCAGTTGTTAAAAGTATGGGCTGTGGGTCAACTTTTGTGGTCTTGAAGTTCCTGGTACTGCACTCAAACGTTAAAGCTGCTGAATTTTGGGGAAGCTAGTCCTGAGATATTCAAAGGATAGTGGAACTCAATTAAAAAAAATAAGAATCACAGAGTTAAAAGGTATGCTTTTATGTTATATAAGGACCCTCTATTTCTGGTCAAAACTGAATGTTTTTCATAAAGATTGTAGATAGATTTTAAGGAATATGTAGGATAGTTAAACATCTCATGTGAAATAGGTGACTTGTTTGTGTATCTTTAAATGTAGTCATTAAGGTACTTGAGGTAGAGTTTAAGTAGTTCAAATTTTCAATGAATAGATAGGCGCTGTTTTTTTTTTTTTGTACTATGAGATGTTTTTCTAAAATGGCAGAAAAAATGAGATTTATATTTTTCTCTTTTTGAAACCTAACAAAAGTATAGAGTACTCATGATGGGTACGGTGTTCGTTGTGCGTTAATACAAATTATCCCATACTGTTTTTAGATGCTGTGAAGTAAGATATATAAGATTGTTTTCTATCATTTAAAATATGAGAAAATACGTTTGTAGATATTTTATTTATACTCGACAGCACCAAAGGAAAAAAATGTAGACACATCGTGATGATTAATACTTACATATTTTATAATAAAATTCTGTTAATGATCTCTTTTAAAACATTTGAAAACTTTTGACAAGTTTTTAATATTACATTGTAGTAAAAATAAATAACCACAATGAAATCATTGCTGTTATAAACACATCAAAATATTTTGTGACAGAATGTCAACAATTTGTCATAGTCAGTCCTCAAACATTTAAATCTTTAATTAACATCGTTTGACAGTTCCATATATCGCATGGCCTTGAATTTTTTTAGAAGTCCTACAAGGAAAATTAAATCTTTTAATTGCACTCGCAAATAAGATGAGTACAGAAGAGAGAATTTAGGTAAAGACGAAAGCAAAATTGCCTTTTAGAATGATGCTTTCTAAATAAAGAATAATGAATATATAAGAAGTATATGGAGCCTTTTCCCCTAGTTTCGAGGCTATAGAGTAAAAGCAGTGCTCAACCAGCAGTGCTCAGGCTACTCTTGGCTCTACAGTTGGCCCCATTAGTGTGTAGGAGCCAGGGGGAGCCAGGGATAGAATCCAGGCGTCCTGCACAAAAAACCTGCCTTCAGCCCATAGAGCTAGCTTTCCCGCCTCATTAGCAGAATTGGTGTAAACCAAACCAAAAGTATTACTGATGCAGAAAAAACTTTGGAGAAAAGTAGCTATTCAGATTACTCTAAAATAAGTATTTGAATGAAGAGTTTGGCAACTGTAAATCAGATTTTCCAGGCAGTTGCTGAGTTTTTCCATTCTTATGTGAGGATAGATTTTTTTCAGATACAAAATACTGATTTTATATTGTTTAATTATAAATGCTTACTCAACAATATTTGCATAATTTGTGCATATTCATGGAGATAATTTTCTAAATTAGCATTTGGAAGAAGTCATTTCAATGGCTTTTACTCTATAGGCATATAGATTTATCAATGAATATTTATTAGGTGCCTGAGCACTAGTTATGTTTTGTGTATCTCTATTTCGATGGGATATTATAGGGAGATCTCTGAGCAATTTTTAGGTTTGAGTAAATTTAGTTGTCCACAGATTATTTGGTGAATAGGGGTTTGGAGTAATTGTTTGTCCATCATGAATGATGTATGCATATTTTATTTATTCCAAAAAGTTATAAGTATTTCATTTGATTCATTCATTTGTTTCTTTCTAAGGGTTTCAGGCTAATAACTTTTGCTTCCCAAAGACCTGAGGTTTATGGAACATGAATACAATTATTTGCTAGGGGTGAAGAGCATAGGCCCACTCCTTCACACCGTCAGCCCCATAGCTGCAAAAATAACTACATCATGAAAGTTGTGCAGCTCTGGGCTTGGTCCCCTTTGCCACAATACAACATGTGATTCCCTCTACTTGTCATTAATTACTTGAGATGCTTTCTGGCCATTAATAGTCATTTATTGTGAAGAGCCCTCCTCTTAGAAAGTAGAAGACAACTCAAGTAGAATATCTCAGCTCTTCCATGGTGAACATTGTGGGAATTTATTTGAGAGAACAACAGATTGTGCCTTTGGGAGTGAGCACCTTGGATAAAGTTAGTTGGGGAAACCAAGGAAAGCTTGCTTTGAGTTTTGTCAGGACTTGACCTCTGCTTATCTTCTTGTCATGTGCCACATTGCATGCAAAGTACCTTCGGGACCTCTTTATCTTCTCCCAACTTGAATCACTCTCAGGATATATATCCTGAGTTTTACGGTGCTTCACACATAGTAGGTATCTGATAAACACATTTGGTTTGTTGCTCTGTTTGGGGATCGCATCCATCAATGTTCAGGAATTACTCCTCCTATCTCTTCACTCAGGACTTCTGGCAGAGCTTGAAGGAGCCATATAGGATGCCGGATATTGACCCAGGTTTTGGCCATGTACACTGCATTATCTCTTCAGTCACAAATTATGTCTACTTTTAATTATCAAATTAAGAGGGGAGAAATAATAGTAGAGGGAGTAAAGGCACTTACCTTTTATCCTCCCATATGGTTTGAATTTCAGCATCACTTAAGGTTGATCAAGTAACAGGGGTCACTCCTGAGCATAGAGCCATGAATAACTACAAAGCACAGTAGAGTATGGCCCAAATTGCTCCTTATCCCCATCCCCCCGCCAAAGAATAGAAATCGTTTGTGTTAATGCGAGCCTATGTGTGCCTTCATAGCATGAATTTGTCTATTAAAAATACAATGTAAGGAATAGTATTTGGGGCAGTGATCTTGCATGAATGCTTCTCTCACAGGGACGGAGAAATAGTCTGTGCTCTATCATGTGACTTGCAGCTTGTTGAGAACCACAACCAGTGTAAACTATTTCTTAACCTCTTGCCCAGTTGTCTTTCTACAGTCGCATCCTTCCCTAGGGATACCTTCTTCCCATTCTAATGCTGTTGATCTCCTTAACATTTCACTCCCTCTGGAATACAAAATACCAAGAGTGTTCTTTCCAGATTTGACTCTGCTGTCACTTTCCAGGCTCTGCCTTCAACATCCCCAACATCCACAGATGGGACTTGGCAGTCCCCTCTAAGAATCCACAGGGATTCATCCACCTGGGCCTTCTCAGTCCTCAACTGTCCGAATTCACAAAGCTGAGAATTTTGTGTTCTTTTTGGCTCATATGATTTCAGGAATTCTATTCACTCATTACCACCCTGCTTCCTCCTCTCTTGCCTTCCTTCCTTTTACACCCAATTTTCTCAGGTTTTCTTCTCTTTGCTCACCTCTCATTGGGACATCATTGTGGATTCTGCTCCCATCATCAGATGTCTCCCTGCCAGACCTTCCCGAGCCTCCCTTCCTGCTTCACTTTTAGTGGTCCTTACCTTCCTTAATGTGATGGAGCTTAGCTGACTGATCTAGCAATCTCTGAATCAACTACAAATAGATTTATTTGGATTTGGGCTTTAGGGATAGATGATAGTATTTTATTAGTTAGTTGTTAAAAG